GAAATAGTTGATGGCAATGGAAGATCCATGTTTGCTCAAACTGAATGGAAATCTCATACCCGATTTCTAATGCTCATCTCGTTAGCAAAGCCATGACGATTCCATTACACTCTCTTTTTATCTCTCTGATCGAAGTTTCTAACTTTTCTGGGAGAGGAAATACGGCGAAGCCCAATTGGGATTTCTGGGAGGGGAAAGTGTTGGTTAAACTTTTGAAAATTGTAAACTTAAGCTTGCTGCTAAAAAGATGGCTAAGAAGCTCTGAATTTCATTAACTAACTTGAATGAGAAAATTACAACTTAAATAAGAAAACAAGTCTATTGCTGCAAGCAACATAACGTCCACTTTGCAGATTTTGTGGAACTACATACCACAATTCCTACAACTTAGGGATTCTCCTGTAGACTAGGTAAACAAGTCTCCTAACTACATGTAACAACTTTATTGTAAATAAATAATCTAAAGATAAATCTTAACACCCTCTCTTAAACTGATTTTTGCAGAAAAACAGTTTAAGATTGATCTTCATCTTTACTTCACTCCTGTGCGAGTCCCTCCCTTGAACAAACTTCCAGGAATCCAGTTATGCATGGAAGAAGCAAACATATTGATGTTAGATACCATTTCTTGCATGATCTATGCAAAGATGGTGTGATTGAGTTGCAGTTCTGTAAAAGTGAAGATCAAGTTGCTGATCTCATGACAAAACCTCTCAAACAACCAGCATTCGAGAAGCTCAGAAATATGCACGGCTGAGGAACTAATAAGTTACAAACCCCCACATATCCAATTATGTCGTCACATGTAATAAAGTTTTCTTGTACACCAAGCTATCCAACTCCCAAATTTTTAGTGGTGTTCTAAAATTCACTCCCACAATTGATATAATTTCCAATTATGTTGTCATCTATAAGAAGTAACTTTAACGTTATTAATCTTAAATTACTGATCAGTAATATAAAAACTGTTAAGAGTTTTGTATTTATTTTGTGAAGGAACAAGGAAAGAAAAATTGAAAGAAACTTTGAGATGAGAGTGCTAATTAAGCATTACGGCTCTCACTCTATGTTTATACATTCGTTCGGTCACAACACAACCCTTATGTATCTTCATCTGCAAACCATTAGTACAATGCTCCTAAGGTTACAACTGTATAAGCCCATCTTAGCCTTCCAACAAAACTCTTATCTAAGCCTTACACCTGCTCACTTAAGTATTTAGAGCTAGCTGTTATTCATTTGAATGAAAAAAACTAGCTAGCCGTTGCCTTGTTGACGAAGGTTGTTGAGACTGGAACAGTTTAGGCTTCAACAAAAACTAATGAGTTAATGCGAACAACAATGCTTCAAGGCTCTGTTTGTTTCACCATGCTAAGTGCGCTTGGCTTGGTGAGGACTAGCATTCATGTTTGGCGTGGTCGGCCATGGACAAAAATAAATGAGCCTAAGGTTTCGTTTGACATTTTGGACCGTACTGATTATTTTTATAGTAGTCGGATAAAATAATCAGTATTGACTAAATAGTCGAACGTTTGGTGCAGTATCAGACTATATCTTAATTAATGTATTTTTAGTTGAACTTGAATGACATTGCTAGAGTTGAGCTCAAGTTGAGTAACCATTGCTACAATTTTTTCTCTTAATCAATGTGCACAATTAGATCCATCACACAACCCATTTTTTTCCATTTTTTCTCTTTTCTATTTCTTCTCAGATTTGACTCTCGGTATAGGCTTTAGCCGTATAGTCTTATCTCTAGCTCAGTTTCTTGTTTTTCTTCAAAAAGATTCGCAAAAATGAAAACCCCTAACTTTTTATAGTACATTAAAAAAGAACTCTGATGAATATCGTGGTGGTAGAGGTCCTTTTGTGATGAGTCTGGTTGGCTGCAATGGTGTTTCCTTTTTTTTTCATCTTCTTTGTAGATTTCTTTTGATGCAAAACAAGAAACCCGCAGGGGAAAAAGTAGCCGTTGGATGAATCTAATGGTGTATATTGTTTAGGAAAAAAAATTAATTATGAGAACTTTAAATACAATTAAGTGAAAAAAATTTATACTCAAAACCTACCACGTGGCAAGTTTTGATTGGTTGGCAATGCCACTCAACACAGTCTAATGGCAAGTTAAGCCACATACAAATTTTCTCTAATGTGCTAGCATTGATTGATAAGATTTGGATGAGTCGTACAGGTCACTTTAGGTGACTCCAACTTATGTGCTAGCATTGATTGATGAGATATGGGTGAGTCGTACAAGTCGTCATAGGTGACTCTGACTTGCGTGCTAGTATGAATTATTAAGCACATGATTATTTATATTGCTAATGAGATGATGGGTAGTGGTATACTTTTGGATTTACTGTTAGTATACATTTGATTTCATATTTCTACGTAGTATGATTTTCTAGAAACTATACAGGTTTTACGGCGAGGGGTTACTACCTTTGATAATTGAAATGATTTGAAAATCTTTGTTTTGCCCACTCACACTTTCCATTTTGCACCCCTCCAAGTCCTAGTAGCAAAGTTCTATATCAACGAGGACTTGTGGCACTCCCAGTTCAGATGGCTCCTTATGATGGTATAATTATTGTATTACTTTACTGTACTTTACTTATACTCTGTATCACGTGTGAAATGGGTCCATACCCGCTCACCACACACTTGTGTATATAGGCAATTTTCGGTTTAAATTTATTCATAGTTTACGCATTATCACATTTTATGGCTTTATCACATTCCAAGTGTCGGCTAGCACAACTCGATTCGGAGTCCTATAGTGAACATTCTGGGTCGGGGTGTGTCAGATACACTCGTATTGAATAGACTTAAATAAATGTTTTTTTTTTTTTTTTTTTTGTTAAACCATCCACATCTTTCCATTTTAGTCATTGAAAATTTCCATACAAAAGAAACAATATCATTTTGGAATCTTCGAAAGAAATAAAAGTCATTAGATACTTTGCCTATTATGAGATTTGTATCGAATACACTCACAAAGCAATTAATTAGAGGACATGATTTTAAGTAAGTAAATTACTATATCATTATTATTTGCAAAGCAATAAATCGTATAAATTTACTACAGATAAAGGCACAGGTGATGGAAATTGGGAAGCATGGATCATAGAAATTCCTCAATCCTCTATTCTCTCTCTGCCACGCCCTCTCTCCCCATTCAATAAATAGGTTACAACACAAAACAATTTATTGTTATTTAGGATGGTGATGGTAAGCATCACTGCCACTAGGATTGTGAAAAAAAAATGCACTCATATCGAATAGACTTAAATAAAGAAGAGTCTTATTGTTAAACCATCTACTTCTTTCCTTTTTAATCACGATAAGCATCAAAACAAAAGAAACAATATCATTTCAAAATCTTCGAAAGAAATAAAATTCACTTGATACCTTGTCCAATTATGAGAGAGTTTTTTTGCTAAACCATCCACATATTTCCTTCTTAGTCATTAAAAATCTCCAACAAAAAAACAATATCATTTCAAAATCTTCGAAACAAATAAAAGTCACTAGATACGTTGCTAATTATGAAATCCATATCCAAGACACTCAACAGGGCAATTAATTAGTGAACCTGATTTTAAGTAAGTAATTACTATATCATCATTATTTGCATTGCAAGAAATCCTATCGTATTTACTACAGATAGAAGCACAGATGATGGGAAGCATGCATCATTGAAATTTCTCATCCTTCTTGTCTCTTTCTGCTGCACCCTTTTTCTCCTTTCAATAAAATAGGTTACAACACAAATCAATTAATTGTTATTTATGATGGTGATGCTAAGCATCACTGCCATTTTTGGGGTGGTAAACAAAATTGCACTCGTATTGAATAGACTTAAATAAAGAAGATTATTATTGTTAAACCATCCACATCTTTCCTTTTTAATCATGAGATGTATCAAAACAAAAGAAACAATATCATTTCGAGATCTTCGAAAGAAATAAAATTCACTCGATATGTTGCCCAATTATGGGAGTGTATATTTGCTAAACCATCCACGTATTTCCATCTTAGTCATTTAAAATCTCCAAACAAAAGAAACAATATAATTTCAAAATCTTCAAACAAATAAAAGTAACTAGATACATTGCCTAATTATGAGATTTGTATCGAATACACTCAACAAGGCAATTAATTAGAGAACCTTATTTTAAGCCAGTAATTACTATATCATTATTATTTGCAAGGCAAGAAATCCTATCTTATTTACTATAGATACAAGCACAGGTGATGGGAAACATGCATCATAGAAATTTCTCATCCCTCTCTTCTCTCACTACCACACCTCTCTCTCCCTTCAATAAAATAGGTTAAATCAATTAACTGTTATTTACGATGGTGATGGTAAACATCACCGCCATTTTTGGGGCGGTAAACAAAAATGCACTCATGTTTAATAAACTTAAATAAAGAAGAGTATTATTGTTAAATCATCCATGTCTTTCCTTTTTAATCATTAGAAGTATCAAAACAAAAGAAACAATATCGTTTTGAAATATTCGAAAGAAATAAAATTCACTAGATAAGTTGCCCAATTATGAGAGAGTATTTTTGGTAGACCATCCACGTATTTTCTTTTTAGTCATTGAAAATCTCCAAACAAAAGAAACAATATCATTTCGAAATCTTTGAAAGAAATAAAAGTCACTAGATACATTACACAATTATGAGATACGTATCGTATACACTAAGAAGGAAATTAATTAGAGAACTTGATTTTACGCAAGTAATTACCATATCATTATTATTTGAAATTGATTATCGTTTTTTAATCAGTTTTTACTCACCCTCTTTACTATGGCTTAGCATTTCTTTTCTTTATGTTTTTCTTAAAATAAAAATAAACTCCTTTTTTTACTCCAACTTAATTTTTATTCACTATAAAAGTAATTTGCATTCCAAGTTAATGTTGCATCTATTTCATTCTCACTCTTCTCTTTTTTGTTGAGACAAACACAAAACTAATGATGAGAATGTATCATCCTCATTGCCTCCTCCTAATCTTAACCGCCTTGTTGTATCTTTTGGTTGCTGCCACTGCGTATGGAGTAGGAGAAGGAGGAGAAGAGCACCATTACCCATCCAAGTACCAGCCTCTGAGGGGTGGGTATTACCCCATTGAAAACTTGAACGACCCACATTTGAGGGAGATCGCGGAGTTCGCCGTCTCCGAGTACGACAAGATTCATGACCAAAAATTGGTGTTCCAAAAGTTGGTTCGAGGAGAGTCTCAAACAATAGCAGGAATCAATTACAAGCTTGTCATTGAGGTTACGGATTCTTCTTCGGTCAATAGCGGCCCCATCAACTATGAGATTATTGTGTTCGAGGATCTTTCGAGGACTACTAAATTGGAGTCCTTTGTTCGAGTCCAAAACTAATGAATGTTTTAAGTTGGGCATGGGGAAACTTTATTTTCTACCTTACTGGAGCAGAGTTGGTTGTAGCAAACCTCAATCTGATCCTCAAAATAAATCCAATCCACCCTATTTGTAAGGTTTCTGGAGTTCCTAAAACCTAAGGCCTGGTCTACAACATTTGAAAGTAGCTCAATTGCAATAATAAAAGTCTTGAGTTTACTACCATTTTTGTTTTCGTTCTGTACTATTTTTGTTCTTGTAGTTTTATTTCGTTATTAATTTGTGGGATATGAATGCACAGATGCAGGAGTTAAATCTATTAAATGATGGTAGGGATCTTGCAAACTATTCAAACAAACAAAGTTTCATTCTAATAATTAAATTGATTAGGGACCAAATGACCCTTATTTTTTTACAAAGGAAAAACAATACTTCTTTCATTGACAAAAATTGACATTCCGAGGACATATTCCAGTTGATATCAGAGTGCGGAACAAATAAGACTACAAAATAATAGGAATTTTATTGAACAAATTGAGAATGCCGAGACGGCTACAAAAACCCTAGAGACTACATTGTGACTGACTTATATTCTAATGAATAACAAAGCAACCTATTTATAATAAACTAAACTTAATCTCTAACAAAACCTAATTCTAACGGGCTAAGCCCAAAATACCAAACATTAAAATAAACTAAATAATAATATTTTCCAACACCCCCCGTCAAACTTATGGCGGTTCACGACATGGGTTTGCCAAAGTAGATGTGGATGCAAAACTCCAAATTCCAATGCTAGTGCCAATGCCGATGCCGATGCCAATACCGATGCCAATTTTCGAACAAACAAACAAAAAATCCAACCAAATTTTTTATTTTTTATTTGCCTTTGCCCGCATGAGCCTAAACCTCAAACAATTTTTTCAAAAACTTTTTCCTCTTTTTTCTCTTGTTTTTTCCTTTTCTTTGCTTTGCTTTTCCTTTCTTTTTTTACATGGGGCGTTCTCCTGATCACGTAAAACAATGCAGCAATTCCATTCCAAATTGCAGACCGAGTTGGTGCGGATACAGTGCGACTGCTGAAGGGTGCAGAAAACGGATAGGGTGCTGATGAGACTGTGCGGTGCATATGCAGGTGGTGTCGATGCTGGTGGGAGATGCAGATTCAACGTGCGTATTCAGACGGCGATAGACAAATGAATATCAAACAAGCAGATTAAATCCCGAAAGATCAAACCTACTCTGATACCAAGTTGAATATCAGAGTGCGGAACAAATAAGACTACAAAATAATAGGAATTTTATTGAACAAATTGAGAATGCCGAGACGGCTACAAAAACCCTAGAGACTACATTGTGACTGACTTATATTCTAATGAATAACAAAGCAACCTATTTATAATAAACTAAACTTAATCTCTAACAAAACCTAATTCTAACGGGCTAAGCCCAAAATACCAAACATTAAAATAAACTAAATAATAATATTTTCCAACAATTCCTGAAGAATGTGTAAGTCGTTCTCTTTTGTTTGACATAGCACGACTAACATGAACATTTCCTTATGATCTGGTAAATTTTATGGATATGAAAGAAATGACTTCCCTACACTAGTTAATTTGTAGAGGAAAAGAGGCGTGTGAGGTTCCATCATATGGCATGTCTGTACGCATATATGAAGGTGCTAGGAAATTGACATCTCCACACAGTGGCATTTTTGCGCTAGCGCTATAAAGAAACTCTGAAGACCGCGAAAATTTTGAAGACTACAACGCTTAAAAGAAAACAAAGGAAAAGAAAGGAGCAAACCGACCTAGCATTTTTCCTAAGATGCAAAGTAGCAGCGAAGAGCGACAAGAAGCATCCCTGTCGACGATCCACCGTTTGGTCAGACAAAGCCCTTGAAGATGCAAGCAGCCCCTCTCCACTCCAGAAGCCATGCATCTCGTGAGCAAAGCCGTTGGACAAGAAAGTCACAGCAAGCAGTCAATTTGGATGAACAGAGTTAGAGAAGGAAGTCGCATCAATGTTACAACAAAAAGGAGGATACTTCCAGCAAAGAAAGACAAAAGCAACCCCGTCGCAGCCAAATTTAAAATAAAAAACAAAAAATAAAAAATAAAAAAAAACCCCGTCGCAGCCCATGTCTTGTAGTCAAGAAGAAGAGAAATTGTTGACGATAAGAAGATGTTGCTGGTAGCGAAAAAGAAGACTGAGCTAGCGCGCAAAGTGCACCAAAAAATGGTGAAGTTTGTTGTCCGGGTCGCTAGCAGAAAAGAAAACAGCGGTTACACACAAAATGCGTCAGAATTGGTGCAGTTGTTGTCCATATTACCGAAGAATACGAAGTCCGCACAAAAGAGACGTCAACAGGACCCTTCTCATACGAGTTAGCATTGTCCAAGTTAGCATTATACTTGTTGCGATCATCTTAATTCTTTGATTTTACTTGTTGCGATCGTGTCTATCTCCAATTCTCCATCTTCGTCACCCATCAATCCTGAGATCGTTACCTCAAATCCGGCTGTGACAAACCCTAATTTCCACATTTCATCGACTTCAGTCAATTCCATCACCATTCAGAACATCGGCTGCATGGTATCGATCAAGCTTCGTGGGGCTGAGAACTATCTCTCATGGAGCGCTCTCTTTGGTCCAATTTTTAGGCGATATAAGCTCATCGGTATTATCGATTGTAGCGAACCTTGTCCAGCTCCGTTTCTCTGTGATTCGAATGGAAATCGTACTTCAACTCCTAATCCAGCCTACGAATCTTGGTATGAGAAGGACCAGAACATTTTGATATGGCTGAATTCTACGCTATCCGAAGATATTTTGCCATTTACAGTTGGAGTTTCTACATCTCGAGAGTTATGGCGCATTCTTGAACAACGTTTTGCTGCAGGTTCGGATACGCATATTCATCAGCTTCGCTCACAGCTTCAATCTTGTCAGAAAGGTAACATGTCAATTTCAGCATATTTCAGAAACTCAAGGAGCTTTCAACTGCTCTTGCTAAAGCCGGTGCTCCAGTCAGTGATCGTGATCTCATCACTATTATTCTCAATGGACTGCCTGATGATTTCGAAGCTTTTGTTGATGCTGTCAATCTTTGTGTCGACCAAACAAGTGTTGATGAGTTACACGGACTTCTTCTCAGCAAAGAAATATCAATTGCTCGGAAGAAGAAAGTCATTGGTTCTCCTGCTGCTGAACCTTGGGAATTTCAGGGTTCTCATAATTTTAAAGGCAATTTTGGGAATTTCAATCGCAATTTTGGAAGTTTTGGTCGGAATAATGGAAATTTCAATAGATCCCTTAACAATGGTGGGAATCGAGGTAATTCAGGCAACAATCGCAATCAAAACAAGTCTGGCTCTGGTGGTAATCGAAATAACTTCAATCGGAATTTTGGTACCTTTGATCGTGGAAGTTCTTCTGGTGGTTATCATCCGTGTCAACTATGTGGCTCCACTTCCCATCAGGCTATTGATTGTTACGATCGTTTGAATCCTACTGTTCAGGGTAGAGTTCCTATGGATAAGCTTGCAGCTAGGTGTGCTCACAAAATCAACAAGCCATCTCCTTCACTCTGGCTTGCTGATTCCTGAACCACTTCGCATATTACTAATGATCTGACCAATATTCCTATACCAACTGCATACAATGGGGACGAAAAGGTGTATGTAGGAGACAGTCAAGGTTTGTCTATTCATCATACTGGAAACGCTGTTTTACATACTCCATCTGCATCTTTTTAATTGTCTAATGTCCTACACGTGCATGATATGAATCATGGTCTCTTGTCCATATACAAGTTTACTACTGACAATCATTGTGCATTAGAGCAAGTCCACCGGAGTGAACTTTGCCCAACACCCAGTCCAAATATCAAGCTGAGGGTCAGGGAATTCACTCCAACCCATCGGGCTGCCTGGCACCCAGCCCAAGCCAAGCAACAGACCAGCCCATTTTTGACAGACCCAAGAGCCGGCCTATTTGGCTGGCGTGTGGACTGGACTCGCGCTTGGCAACGAGTAGGGGACAAAGGGCAGGCGCTATCAACCTGTTGTCAACCCACTTGTGTTGCAGCGACGTGGCTTGCTTAGAGCCGTTGGATTTCCAACAGTAACAAAAATTTAAATTTTACTTTTAAACTAGACCTTCCGATCACAAATCAATGGTCCACGTTTCCCCCCCCCCCCCAAAAAAAAGGCCCAACGGTCAGATTTATGACCGTTGGCCACGTGGCAGATCCTTGGCTCTTGGATTTGAATATTTTCAAATCCAACGGTCTAGATTAATTAACTACATTAAAATTAATTAAAAATTATAAAAAATACATATATTTTTTTTAAATACAGTAAAATTTTAAAAAAGTTATTTTTTTTCTATAAATACCTAACCCTCATCTTCCACCTTACACCACATTTCAATATTTTCTACACTTTCTACTATCTACATTTCAATATTTTCTACACTGTAAGAGAAAAAAATGTCTTCATGGAAGCTCATTGAAGATGTTACGTTGTGTGAATGTTGGGTTCACAATACTCATGACCCGATTACGGGTAATGAGATGGATAAGCGAGAAATGTGGAGTAAAATTACGAAGGCGTTTTGCGATGTACATGGAAAAGACGCCAGAACTAGTCAAGGTCTTCAAGGTTGTTGGAAAAAACTTAACGCATCATTTTCTTGTTGGAAAAACGCCTTCTCTCATGCTTCCGATAACCTGGGTAGCGGGACAAGTTTAGCGGATCAAGTGACAATATTTTTATTTATTTATATGCATTCCACCCGCATTAATATTTTAATTTATTTAATTTCGTATGTAATTTTTATGTTATTTCTTATGTAATTTTTAGGGCAAAAGACTGTTTACTACCCTCATATTTCGTGGTTTTCAACATTTGGTACATGAAATGTTTTTCATCCCAGAGTCATACCTCAAGTCTTAATTTTGGGACAGTTTCATACATCCATTAAGTTTTCCGTTAGAATTTTTGTTAACTGATGACGTGGTGCCCACCTGGACAATAATTGAGCGCCACGTGTCAATATGGGTCGACTTCAATATTAAAAAATTATATAAAAAAAAAAACCCACCTTCCCTCTTCTCTTTCCGCTCAGCTGCTCAGATCACTCCATCTACGAAGTACGAATCATAAGGCGAGACAACCTTCATGTTCTTTTTCTTGGTTTCCCACAATGCATTCACACAATCATCCACCATCTACTTCTGCGACTCCATTATCATCTGATTTTGCTTCATCTCCATCTTCATTCTCATCTTCTCCATCTCCCCCGCCATCTCCATCTTGGTTTCCCACAATGCATTCACAATCATCCACCATCTACTTCTGAAACTTTCATAATTTCTGACCCGAAACCCACCTTCATATTGAACTCCAATACGGATATCCGGATCTGGGTTGGACCCGAAAGCCAAAGGAGAGTCGCATTCCAAGTCGATCATGGGCTAAAACAGATCTCAGGCAGAGAAAAACGGAGCCGGACCCAGGTGGGGAAGTCGGCGGTGGTGTTGTGTGAGCGAGGACCAATGCGGAGCTAGAGATTGATGGGCCGTCGAGCCCTAGCAGTAGTGGGTATGCTGGTGACCACCAACACCACCACGAAGGTCGTGGGGATTGTGGAAATTCTGGGGACTCGGGTTCTGTTGTTCTCAGATATAGTGGGGGAGAGGGAGCAGGTGGGTCAAAGAGGTGAAGAGGGAGGAGTGGGAGGGATCGGGAAAGAGAAGAGGGAGGGATCGGGAACGGGACAGAGAAGAGGGAGGGAAGCCGCCCTGCGAGCCCATCGCGAGCTCCCGGTCGATGGTCTTGAGCTGCTCCATTAATGATTGAGGGTTTGAATGTTAGGGTTTTGGATGGAGAATTGGGGGTATGAATTTGGGGGGAATTAATTAGTGAATTTCCATTGCATGAAGAAATAGAGGGAGATGTTTTGGGGGAGAAGGGGGTGCTCGGGTGGAGAAGACAAAAGGGGTGGAGGGGTGCTCGGGTGGAGGGAGGTGGGGATTCTGGGGAGAAAGGAAGAGAAGAAAGGAAGAAGAAGAAGAAAAAGAGAGAGAGAGAGAGAGAGAGAGAAATCCACGTTTGAAGAGAGGAAAGAAAGAAAAAAAAATTCCAGGTGGACCCTTAATGACACGTGGTGCCCAATCATTGTCCACATGGGCGCCACGTCATCACTTAACTGGAAACTTAACAGTTTGACTAACGGATGTATGAGATTGTCCCAAAATTTACACTTTAGGTATGACTCTGGGACAAAAAAAATTTGATGTACTAAATATTGAAAACCACGAAACTTCAAGGTAGTAAACAGAGTTTAACCCTAATTTTTATATGCATTCCACTCGCATCAAAATTTTAATTTATTTAATTTCTTATGTAATTTTTATTTAATTTCTTATGTCATTTTTATGTAATTTATATGCATTCCACCCGTATCAATATTTTAATTTATTTATTTGTGTTACACCCGCATTTTTTGACACTATCTTATTCCACATTTTTATAGACACTACAAGCTCAAGCATTCTACAATTCAAAGAACCAAAACAAATCATTCAACAAATGGGAATGTTGGGAAATTGTCAAAGATTGCCCTAAATACAAAATTGTGGCAACCAGTACAGAAGTTGTCATGCACGGCATGGGTCTACATAGTTCGTCAGAACCAGACATGGCCAAACAAGAAGCCGACACATTTCAAGACACGGAAGGGACTCCTGAACAAGTGCCCGAGACCCAACCGACTCGTCAGTCCCTCTGGCCTCAAGGTAAAAAGGCATCAAAGAAAAAAGGTAGTTCTTCCAAAAATGACTACACTAAATATATGCAGGAACTTGCTCGCCAAGGTGAACTGAACATGGTACGGGAAAAGGCTAGAGATGAGGAAAAAGTTGCTGCTATGGCAGCAATAATAGCAGCTACTGAGGTCCGTGATGCGGCGGCTGAGAGACAGAGAAATAGTTAATCAAGAGAACGAGCTGGTTAGACAAGCATTTCATCGAGAAAATGAAATGCTTAGAGAAGAAAGGATGGCTCAAGCAGATCATGACACTATGAGCAAGTCTCTAGTAGGACTGTCTTTGAATTCAAAATATTTTGACATCGGAAAAAATAGATGTCGTGCGAAGGAGGCGTGCAAGAAATGCGGAAACAAGTCAAGGGGGTTCTAGCTACACAAATCATAGCAACCAAGATCCTAGCACCACATATCCTAGCTCCAGAGACCTTGTAAATTTTTATGTAATTTCTTATTTTTTTTCGAATTTTATTTAATTTCTTATGTAATTTTTATGTTTTTTCTTTTTTTTTCTTTTGAACTTTATTTAATTTCTTATGTAATTTTTATGTTTTTTCTTTTTTTCTTTTGAACTTTATTTAATTTCTTATGTAATTTTTATGTTATTTCTTATTAATTTTTAAAACTTTATTTATTTTTATTTAATTTATTATGCCATTTTAATGTAATTATTTATTTATTTTTGTACTTTATTTAAACACATGAAATAAGATTAATAAACTCACCAAATAAACTTAAAAAAAAAACACACTACATAGAATTACATAAACTTAAAAAAAAATACACTTTATTCTTTAACCACAAGCCTCATTTTAATTATCTTCGCCTTCATGCAATCCCCACTGGTGCTCAATCAAGTCATTCTGGCAAGTTCCGTGCCAGTATGGCTCTTGCACATCAGTGTACCACTAAACGATCAATTCATCGTAACGTCCATCACGTTCCAACGACTCATGTTGCACAGGATCTTCGGTCTAGTCATGAGCACAGTAGATACGTGTTCTTGAGTTGTTCATCGGATTTGGCTCATATTCATCGACGGCATCATAATCATACTCATCTTCAACAATCATGTTGTGGAGAATAATACACGTCATCATGATGGATCGACGAGCCTCAACATCAAACATTCTAGTTGCACCTCTGACAATTGCCCAACGAGCTTGCAGGATACCAAAGCAAAGCTCGACATCCTTCCTACACCCTTCTTGACATTTTGCGAAGTGTTTTTCCTTTTCAGTCTGTGGATGTGGCATTGTTTTGACAAACGTTGACCACCTTAGGTAAATGCCATCTGCAAGGTAGAATGATCCCTCATATTGGGTACCATTAACCCAATATGTGCATCTCGGCGATTTTCCTTACAGCAGTTCGTCGAACACTAGGGATTGGGCAAGGACATTTCTGAGCTCCTGGAACACCAAAAAAAGCATGTCAAATTCATGTATCAAATGAAGCCACGGCTTCCAAAATGATGTTTTTGGCTCATTTTCTGTCGCCACAAGCTCCTTGCCACGTACTTGGACAATTTTTCCAAGTCCAATGCATGCAATCGATGCTTACAATCATGCTAGGGAAGCCTCACATCTCACCCTTCCTCAGAAGCCTTCGCATGTCCCTTGGCGTGGGTGTCCAGAGGTACTCATTGGTGTAGAGGGCTTTAATTACAGAGCAAAACCGCATCAGGGACTCAAGAACAGTTATTCTTCCCATCCTCACGATCTCATCCACTTAATCTGCAGATGCTCCATATGCAAGCATTTGCAAGGCAGCCGTA